AGCTCTTTTCTTTTAATGAAATTAAAAAGAAAAAATGCAACTCCTAAAGCGACGTCTCGAAAATCAACGTCACAGAATGACCCTCTTCAGCGATAAAAAAACTTATGGTTATGGTTAAAAATAGTTTTTCTTCAACTGTTTTCTTCTCGTTGGTGTTCTACGTACATTGATGTTTCTCTGGTCATTGGTGGTTTACGTACCAAAACGTAAAAAGTTTATGTGCTAAGGTTCTCTAAAAAAATTTTAAATTTTGGAGTCCCGACTTGAATTCACCTTATCTTGACACGGCTTATCTCGACATGAACTGTGTCCTTGTTGACACCACGCCCCCCTGACAATGCTAGAAAAAGGATAAATTCCACCCACACCAGGTAAAGGGATAATCTCTTAATCCTCTGAGCGTCAGGGATAGTCTTCAAGGGAAAGACTTGAACCTATAAATTATGAGAACTCGGTCATATTCTCATTCCATCTTCATCATGAAGGCTGTTGAGTTTTACTCCGAGATTGCTACCGAAGAGAGTTGTGTTGCATTCTTGCGTGAGCATGGGCTGCTGCAGAGCGTGGACGATTTACCGAATTGACGGAGGTGGAAGTGAGGTGAAATCCACAATACGCAAGATGCTTGCTTATGGTTCCGTCAAGGAATACCACACATTGAGGTGCACCAGACGTGGATGTCAAGCACACCAATCGATTCGCAAAGGGAAGGACTTCTTTACATTCACAGATGTGAATGGACGCTGCAACCTTTCCCTTCAGAAGATCTTGGAACTGTGCTACTATTGGGCACTGGACATTCCACAAGTGACTGTTTCAATATTAACGGGTTGTGGCGCCCACACTGTAAATGATTGGTTTAACTTGTGTCGAGATGTATGTGTTCCATTGGCTCGCTCAAGTCAAACATGTGGAGTGAATGATCAACGAGTGGAAATCAATGAAGCTCTTCTCCAGGGAAAGAGGAAGGCCAATCGTGGTCGGCTCCTAGCTGGAAATTTACCAGCAGAAGAACTTCCATCTGATGACTCAGATGCAGGAGGAATAAAGAATAATCGTAACCATGGACGTCGATTGTCGGGGCCGTGGGTGTTTGGCATCTGCTGGAACCATGTGTTGGATGGAAGGAAGATCATCGGAAGACGATATTTTGTAGTTGATCGTCGTGATAGGGAAACTTTGCTCCCCATCATTCAAAATGAGGTTGCGTCAGGAACATTGATCATGTCCGATGAGTGGGCTGCTTACGCCACATTGAACCAGTATGGATATCGACACGAAACTGTGAACCACCAAACTTTGTCGATCCTATAACTGGTGCCAAAACGCAGACAGTTGAATCCCTTTGGTCAGTATTGAAATCGAAGATTCTTAGGAAAATGCACGGCACCAACCAAGACATGCTTCCACGACATATGAAAGAATGTTGGTGGCGCTCAATTAACCAACACACAGATATATTTTTTAGCCTATTGAAAGACATTCGCCGAGTGTTTCCATGAGGGTTACATTGACATGCTCATTGTGTCTAACTACCTTGAAGGGTTATGGGTATTGCTTGTAGACTACCAAAGACCGGACAAAGATCAATAAATATAGGGTGTAGACCACTGGCCTTACGTAGACCACCAACGACAAGAATGCCCACCAAACTATTGCCGCACTCAGTAATAGCTTTGCTCGCAAATACTTTGGCAAGGATGGGTAAAAGTTCTTCCCTTATGTAAAATTTAAGAATAGTTCAAATATAAAGCACATAACAAAATCTTAACGAGTGGAAACTTTAGAGAACGTCTACAAGATTCCGGGTGGAAAAATACGTCTTTGGTCTTGTTTTGTTTTTTTGAGGATGGAAGATGAGGGGACTTAAGGCATGTTAAAAAGAGGAAGGACCATCAACGCATGCCGCAAATATTCCAGGTGATTTAAATATATTTTAAGATAGTGATATTACCATACTCTCGATTTCAAAAAATAAAATATAAATTTCGGAACCAATTCTACAGTATTATAAATTATGGTTGTTCATGGAGCTCCGTACAATTTGCAATCTTACACAATTCCGAAACACAATCCCATCCTGTCTGATTTCATGACGTTGATTGCCTCATCTTGATGTGACTGCAAATACTTCATTCACCCTCTAGGTCATGCTGTTTTTCATTTCACCTATAGGATTTCGCATTAGTGCCGATATGGAAAAATTACGACTTCATATAGGTAACTATGGATTCAAATTCTGATGTGACCAGCATAACCAGGACAGATGAATGGGTATTGAGAGTGAAACATTTTAAACCTCTGATATATTGGGTTGGAAAGAAAGAAAGGGCAAAACACTGCACAATTTTTTCAAAATTTTATAACTTAATTGAAATGCAATTTCAGTCTACAATGTAATGACCATTGTTGTCTATGACATGTTCCCAACGCACGGGTAACTGCTCGATGCCCTTTGCCCAGAACTCTGGCGATTGCGAAGCGAAGAAACGGCCGACATCATTTACGAGCTGTGCTCGATCGTCGTAGGCCTTGTCCCGTAGGTGATTCTTGAGGGCCCGGAACAAGTGATAGTCGGAAGGGGCCAAGTCCGGAGAATACGCTGGATGGGGTAAAACTTCCCAGCCCAGTTCCCAAAGTGTCTGGCGAGTCTTCTTCGCAACATGTGGACGAGCGTTGTCATGCATACGGAGAACTTTGTCGCGTTTGGGACGCTCTATTTGAATGAGGCTAGCCAACTTCTGAAGTTGAGCAGCGTAGACGACGGCAGTCACGGTGGTACCGGTTGGCAGGAGCTCATAGTACAACATTCCTTCTGAATCCCACCGACAGCAGAGAAGAACCTTCTCGTGGAACCCTGGTTTCGGTTCGTGTGGCGGCAATTCTCCTCGTGGAAGCCACTGACTCTTGCGAGTATGGTCGACGCAGAGGACCCAGCTCTCATCTCCAGTAACGATTTCCTTCAGAAGGTCCTTTCTGTGCGGACGAAGGAGCAGTGATTC